CAGCGTTGCGAGGCAAGGGCTCAAACATGTACGGCTGGAGCGTCCCCGCTTTCCTCCTCTAAATAAAAAATGGATGACGGAGGAGACTCATCCACGACCTCCGACACTAAACTCTCCTCCTCTTGCATGTTTCCGCTGTCCATAGCGTTCCTTGACAGCGTCGTTTCTAAGTCACCAACCGCTAACTGGTTAGCAACATGCTTCCGACAAACTGGCCACAATCAAACTTGCTTGGAACCTTTCACACCACCTGCCCCAATGATAAACGACCAATCACATTCCCTTTATTCACTCGAAATACAACGGTTGGAACGGCCGCTTCCTGTTGACTTTAATGAGTTATTGAATGACTGAAGAAGCATAACTAAGAGACTAAACTCGCCCACGCTGGAAAGCAAGTTTAAAACAACAGGATGGGAGTTTATCTAGCCTGCAGAGGCAGTGAGGAGGTTAAAAGCAATCCCTGCTGTTCGCTGAAGGAGAACTGCTGTTAAAGTAGCGGTACCATGCGGACACCAAGTTACCATAACAACCATTAGATGCTCTCTAAATGCCAACTGGGGTTTTATATAATAAACCCACTCATAATAATAACAATCTTAGATGTTTTATCACTAATCTGGATGTAGGGTTTGATTCTAAATGTCTATAAATCCATTACTGATTTTCTCATCCACAGATTTTAAGTATACAACACATGTTAGGATGACAGCAGATGACGAACAAATGGATGTGAGGAGGATAAAATCTGTCAAAGTAAGTGGAATGTTCTAACCTAACTGAGGGATCATAGGGCCGTAGGGCCTTCTGTATAATTGGCTTTTCTGTTGTTCCTTTGCAGATTACAGTTTGATCTACAGCGAAAGCCTGGAGATGTCTTTTAGGTGCATCTCAAAATCTAGCTTTATTTAATTCAATTCAGTTCAGTTTATTTCTATAGCTCCAATTCACATGTCATCTCAAGGCACTTTACAGTTCAACCAGATCATACAGTCAAACTCGAAGTTTTCTACCTAAGGAAAACCAGCTGATTGCATCGACTCATTGACTCTTCAGCAATCCCTCACACTAAGC